TGTGGAAAAAAATCGAACCGTACAGTTCTCCACACACGGTTCGGCACGCATTTAGGCATATATGAAGTTGGCGTGCTTGGATCCACACCAAAACAATCAACACGAGATCACCTGAATGAGGTGGTCTTTCCCTGATTGAAAACAAACGCTGGAGCAGATCAGTGTGGATACTGTGTGTATGCTGATGTTTCGTGTAGATAACTACAACTGAAACCCAAAGTAGTGTTAAAAATCAGTTTCTTTTCACATATCTCTCACTCTTTGAGACGTCTCACCCGAAGGAATTTCAATGTGCAGTTCATGAGTGAGGGTGACAGAGAGAGAAAGACAAAGGCCCTGATTTGAAAACTTAATTACATCCCTGGATCTTTCTCATTAGTCTAAAAACAGCTTATATTGCCTCTGCAGAAGAACATCTACGCCTGCTTCTACATCACTGCTTGTTTAGCCATTCTGATCCCAGCATTAGGAAAGAGTGGAGGAAGTTTAACAGCCTATTCTAAATTATGATGATTTTTGATGTAAATTTTTTTTATAACATTATAAGATCTCAGAGAACAGTACAAAATGATAAAAAAAAAGGCAGTTAATGACCCCTTTAACTGCTGTGATCGGATCATTGAACAGTAAGTTGAATTCAAGACCTGGATCAATCAAATTCATGAATGAATCATTCAAATCCTTTGATCAGGTTTTGCAGACTGAATCTACAGATTCATAGGAGTCAAAACAACAGTTCATTCATGAATCATTTAATTCAGACATCACTGCTATTTTTCATTAATTCGAATGAATATTTAATACTTTAATTTCAGCCTGAAGATAATTTGATAATTAGATTTTTTTTCATCATGTTTTAACTTGACACCCACAGTCTTCATTGATTTTCAAATTATTAATGACTTCATTAATTTTGTTCTGAAGAAGAAATAAAGTCATACAGGGTTAGAACGACATGAGAGTGAATAAATTATGATAGAGTTTTCATTTTGGGGAGAACTATCCCTTTAATTTGAAAGCAAATTAAGCTTTTTGCTCTTGCTTCTTCCAAATTCTTCTAAACCAAATTATCTGCGCTTTATTGTCCAAAGATTTGAGACTAAAAGCATATATAGAATGGAATCTAATTTTCCTCAGTCGGCATCAGCTTACATCCTCTCACCAAATTACCGTACACCAAATTAGGCCAAAAGCACAACACAAACACAGTACACACCGTTTCCGTCCCCCTTTTTTTATCCGCTCTTCGTCTTGTTGTTGTTGTTTTTTAATGTAACAATCCGTGAGATTTGAGACTAAAAGCATATATATATATATATAAATGAAGCATAACTTAAATCTGTTAAATTATGAAAAAGCAAACTGTAAGCAATGCAATTTTCCTGTCGTTTGTGTCATGCCCTTACGGTGAATCAGCATTGATTCATCGCTTCATATTTGCTCAAAGGCAGTGCATCATATTCTTCCCATCCTCCAGTGCCTTTGAGTTACTCTTTTAGATGCAAACACACATGGTAACAAAAGAAAAGCTGCACATGTTTGATGCGGCTGACGACCATTAAAGTCTCTTTGAATGGAATCTAATTTTCCTCAATGGGCATCAGCTTCTGTTACATCCTCTCACCAAATTACCGTACACCAAATTAGGCCAAAAGCACAACACAAACACAGTACACACCGTTTCCGTCCCCCTTTTTTTATCCGCTCTTCGTCTTGTTGTTGTTGTTTTTTAATGTAACAATCCGTGATATCTTCTGTATTGATATTCAAATTAGTGCAGAGCTTTGGGTGGACTTAGATGAAATTCACCAGCTATTTATACACGGAGCATATTATATCCAACACTTTGCTTCACCACCATCCGGGCTTAGCGTGGATTAAAGCGAGGCGTAAACAAACGCACAAAGGCCTTTGCGCTTTCTCCTCAGATTTTTTTCTCATGTTATCTGAACTAGCAAACTGCGATGCCAAAAAGATCAAGCGATTGTTTCATTGTATTTTATGCACAGGATGAGATTGTTCTTTTGAAACAAAGAGCAAGATACCCAGTCATGAAATGGATAGTAAAATCCCGCTGTTTCATTACCAGACGGCCTTGTTATTTCTATCATAGCTAAAAGGCATTTTTACCCTTTCCTTTCTCTCTCATTCTCCCAATCCGAGGGGTGTTTATCTATCTTCAGGATGTGGTGATGCTGTGACAGCTGTTTTGGAGGAGTTGTGTAGAGATCTCTTTGTTGGAAGCCTCGCCAGGGTTCCTCGGGCGTCCCTTGAACTGCCCTCTCCCCGCTGGAGGTTTGTTGACTGAGCCTGTGGCCCATTATTCTCTCAGGTGTGGGTGTTGGCCGTTGGGGTTTGATCCACATCTGTTCGGCCTTTAGGTCACTCCAGTGGTGGGCTGCACACAGAGCTCTGTGTGAGGTAGGAAGGGTCGCTTCTAAGGTCTGTGTGTCCATGTGGAGAACGCAGATCTTTAGAGATGCATGAAGATGTGGGGTCCCTAAAGTACACAAACAGTACCGGACAGAGTCAACGTGTCTGTCTGCCCTCTCACTCCACAGGAAGTCACCAACTTTGCGTCATCTGCCATAATTTGACCAAAAACGCTCAATACCTTGACCCATTTTGAGACAATGTCCATAGATATGATTCAGAACTGCCTGGTGAAAAAACTCAGGCTGAATGACAGTCTGAAGCCGAGAGGCGGCACTGAACTCAAGGTGGCTGAAGGCTTTCTCTATCCGTCCTGCTCTTTTGGCTGGTATTGAGATTAGATGATGTGCTTTCAGGGGCTATAGATGCAACACTGCAGCTCGGTAGATGTGTTTGGGATTTTTTGCTGAGATTACAGAGATTGTGAAAAGCATTATGAACATCCTCCAAAAAGAAGACAATGAAAGGGATAAAACAAGCAGAGTATCATGAGAGGGAAGATGACAGGCCTTGAATTTCTCTTATTAGGGCCTATTGTTGGATTAATTAGTTGCTCATGTTTTTGCTCATCTCGGTTGATTGAACTGTACTTTTGGTTTTTATGCCTGTTTTTCACCTGTTTCAAAAAAATTTACAAAAAGATCTTTAATCGCATAATAATAATAATAATAGCAATAATAAATAAAAACACATTTTTTATCATTGCTATTTGTTGCTAAGGTGTTGCTATGCTATGATTTCCAGCCCAAGTTCTTAATTAGTCTCAGTTCCCTTTGAGACCACAGTAGTTTCTGATTCCTCCCATAACAAACGTGATTTCAGCACGTCTCCACAGTAAACAAAACAAGCGTTTCCTGAAACGAATATTGAATATATACGAATATATGAACAAATATTTGAGAAAAAAAGAGTCAAAACAGAATATGGTGGAAGAAGCATAGAATATCTCTTTATTGTCTTGCTGCAATCTCTATCAAGACTCCATTATAGGAATATTTTATTGCTCAGTGGTTGCTCTTTCTATCCTCAGGAGACTTAGTTGTGATTCTCATGTATTTCTCATTTTAGTCTCAACAGTGTCTCAGATTTTTCTCCTAAAAATCCTTAGGAGAAATAAAAGTAAACACAACTGAGACATGAGAAAGTTCTGAAAAAAAATAATCCAAAATGAAAATGGGAGAGAAAAGTGTGAGAAACATGGGAGATCTCTTTATTGTCTTTCTGTAATCTCTTGCAAGATTCCATTATAAAAATGTTTTACTATTTAGAGGTTGCATTTTTGATTGCAATGGGGTTTTTCACCTTAAATGGTCAGGACAGTAGGAGTAGAGACAGGAAACAATTGGACAGGTGAGAATT